AATGAACATAACTACAAACTTCATCAAATATGTAAATTTTTTTCAAGCTGATTTAACAACTCTAGCATAGGTCCTAGTTGTCCATAGGACTAGCATAGGTCCATAGGACCTTAGTCGGCACGTACCGTAAGAACTTAAGCTAAAGCGCAACCAATCACACCTGCATATTTGAAACGAACGAAATAAACAAAAGCGGCAAGTTTAAGCGAAGTTAGAAGGAGAATAGAAAAATCAAATTCAATTAGGTTTTCTGCCTAAGCGAATTTAAAAATGCGATCAGTTGCTCGCGAAACCTTATTGAGGGTGGGTGCTTTACAATAATGCGCCCATTCGGTTTCGCATTCTATGCATCTGCAGTATGTTCAGAAACATATTGGCAATTTGCTCAGCATATATTTCGTAAATTATTTTTAATAAATTTTCTAAAAATGATTTCTTGCCAAAATAATATAGAACATATAATATCGCTAACAAAAATTGTTTTCAATTTTCAATAAAATATTTTCACTATTATTTCACGTACACATTTTGCTTACTTAATCAAATGTTAATAAAATCAGCTGGTTACGTACGCACTAATTGTACATTAGAATAGAGCGAAATTTCCTTTTCATTTCTATTTAAGTTCTGACGGTACGTACCGACTAATTAAGTCTTCAATTATGTCACTTTGACATGTTGATGTAACAATTCTGTAAATAATCTAATAATAATTATTATTATTCTGTGTTTTGAGGCACAACGTTTGCAGCTAACAGGCCACAACCTACTAAAAGCAGCTTTATGTTCCCAAAAACACGAGTCTTGATTAAGTTAACAGATGTCCTACGTTGTAACGCCTTTTATAAAGTATGCTTGCTAGTAAAAAGCAGCACTAAAAATACCAGAGTTGTTTACCAGTTCGAGTAACCTGGTAAAAGTGCAACAAGTTGCGCTAACTCGTGAGCACACTTGATGGTGTTGATTTGTTAACAACAGCTGTTAAAATCAGCCCTGTTTTGATTAATTTGTAAATTGTAAAAAAAAATTTAAAAGAAATATCAATATTGTACCAAAATTAAATGAAAAAAGCAATATTGTTGGAATTTTGATCAAAACTAGTCTAAAGAGAATAAAATTGCTTGATTAAAAAATTATAAACATTTTTTAATCTTTAAAATTTGACACAATTTTTATGTATGTATTAGTTTTTAAATTTTTTTTAATAAGTTTTAAATTTAAAAATTAAAACAAGCTATGTTCATTCTTATTATATTGAAACTATTTGAACCAGTGCACTTGAATACTTTTACTCTCTATTAACTGCGAGGTATCTTCAAAACCTCTCTTTACGCCTTGACTGGATTATTGTTTATCACTTCATCAGACTAAGCAATAATTGACATCAGATCTGCATACCTCTTCGAGGAGCCTGTAACCATTCTGAGATTCGATACAGCGGTATTGGTAAGTCTGTCAGTTTTCGTAACTAATTTCATGGCTCTATTCTTTATTCTTTATTATTCTTGTTATTAAATAATTTTCAATTTTTGAAATAAATGCATGAACATTTAATATTAATCAGAAAAAAGCTTTAAATGCTGCCCATACAAAATGCTTAGTATAAATACATTTTCGAAGTAAAATTTTTCTTATATATGAGAAAGATGGCAACAGTGACAAAAAGAGTTAAAGTGCCATGCAAATTTTAGTCAATCAAAATGCTTGACTTATTTAGTAACATTACAACGCATTACTCGACATGTATTTTGTTGCACTTTTAATACGTTACTCGGTTACCAAGTAGTTACTCGAACTCGTGAACAACCCTCAGGATTAAAAAAACAGATTTTCAAAATAATAACTGCATTTAAAAAATATAATAAAAGGGCATAATAATAATAAGCAACTATGTATAATAACCATATAAATCGGTTTTTATACCGCCTGCATCCATTCACAGACTGTTGTAGCTGTAATGAAATTTTCGCAATTACCTATAAATTTTAATTATCTAAAAATATTATAAATTTTACATTAACCATAATTGTTATAATAAAATAAGTCATTGCGACAAGATTTTTATCTGACCGGATTATTCAAATATTTTTGCTATAATAAATTAATTACCAATATTAAGTTATAAAATAATAAAGCAAAAGTAAAAAAGAAATACTTTGACGAATAAATAAGTTTAATATAGAAGGACTTACCAGTTAACATGGACTCATCAAGTATACAATTGCCAGACAACAGCACAGCATCGCATTGCATAGTACAACCAGCTGTTGGTATTTCAATAATATCACCAGGCACCAGACTCTGCGTAGGCAAGTCCTTAACGACACCTGTTTGTGACACCACTAATGCAGTTCCAGTATTTTGTACTGTTTCTCGTAACCTATCTTGATTCTTAAAAAAAAAAAATTGTTCAGTAATTCAATTTAAATATATTATTTTCATACTTTCTTCATTTGCATAATAGACATTGATATCCCAAATACTGACATTAAAACAATGACACACGCATAATAAAAGTAATCGTACGTAAACCATAATATTACCGAGAATATTTGAAAAACGTAAAAAGGATTAAGAACTTCCAAAAATAATAATGTTTTAATATCCTTGTAAGGGACACTTATTTCATTCACTCCGTAAACAATTCTTCTGGAATTTTGCTCCTGCGCTGATAATCCTTTTTGTTGATGAAAGTAAACACTTGTCATATTCACATCAAGTCCTTTTAATTTTTTATAAGAGTACGTCTGTGAGTCCCAAACATATCGTAATTGTTTACAAAGGAATAGACGTATATTTTTACTTTCTGTCAAAATTTAAAAACAAATAAATTCATGCATTATCTGTAAAATTAACGAACATTTTTATACTTTTAAATTGACCGCCTGAAAAATGTACTGAAAGTTGACCATTTTTGTCGTCGCTATCATCTCTTATGTGCAATGCGCTTTTTAAGACTTTTGAATGATATCCACCACTTTGATCACTTAAAATTTTTAAATTTAATATAAATATTTTACATATATTCTATTATTACCATACTGACTCGGCACTAAAGTTTTTTACTGTCTTCACATAATAAATTTTGTGTTTGCCCTTATAGTCTTCCTGTATTAGAACCTTTTCAGCCTCATCTAAAGGACACTGCACATGTGTAGCAATTAAATACCAATGCCGCCACCAATGCAGTATTAAGCGCAGTAATCCGCCAGTCATGCATATACATAGCCAACATAGAAACATTCGGCTATTAGATTTACGGTAACCTGTCACTTGCATTTCATCTTCCTCACCTTGATTTAGTAAACCTACGCATGGTTTAGAATCTGAAAATAATTATAAATAATTTTAATAATTTTAAATATGAATATAAATATATATATGTGTGTGTGTGTGGGCATATAGTTTAAAACCATATATATATATATTATGACAATACAATTGGGTTTATTTAACTAAATATCGCTATGAATTCTTGTACCTTGTTTGCAAATTACTTTATCGCTCATTAGTATTAAGAAGTTTATTATCGTGTTAGAACAACTTATCAGGCTGTTTACTCTGTAATGTGTAATTTTGCTAATGTCGTCTCTGCATTATTCAGTTTGAAAACAGTCAATATTTCTAAAATTACATAATTTTAAATATTCAAATATTCAAATATCCAAGTGCAAAATGCAGATGCTCATAAAAATTATTAAAAAAAATAAAAAAAAACAAAAAAAAAACAGTTTAATGAAAACAGTTGAATTCGTTCGTTTTAATAAAAGCAATATTTTCCAGTTTTTTAATTAAGAATTTATCACGTTCACAAAAATATATTTACAAAGAAAGAGACATTTTAGTATAAATAGTTGATGTAGTCAGGAAAATATATTAGAGGGTTAGCATTGACTTTGTTAAATTTAATCTAATCTTCTTCAGTTAATAAAATTCACATATAGGAAATATTTTTATTATGTAGAAGCACATTCCCATTAATAAGAACTTGTTCTTAGTGAATGAATAGAAAGAAATAAAACGGTTGATAAGTCGTAAACTACATTTCACAATTTTTTCAACATTTTGTGTTCAATATTTTATTAATTTCTCAATTTCTCAATTTAGACTTAAGCTGTACAATATTGCAATCTCAAAGCATTTCGAATTAAACAGAATAAACTTTGAATACAAAAGCGTATACATGCTTAAAGTTAAAGTTGTTGCGTTATGTTAATGTAAGCAGGTTATGAATAACCATAAACTCTCCGCACCACCATAAAATTTATAATTATTAATTATTAATAATTATATAAATATTAACTAAATGAGACAAATAACGACATAGCGGTTGCGACACAATCGTACTGCGATGAATTGAAACATGTACTCGTGGCTTGAATTTTGTTTAAATTTGTTTAAATTGCGTTCGAATGAAGTATCAATAAAACCCTTTAAGCGTATAAAGCACTTGTGTTTATCTAATTTAGAGTAACTTATGGAAGAACACAGCAGCGCAGCTCAATATAAACACATTTTTTAAAGTTCAATAACAACAACGTGTCGCGCCATTAAAATATCTTGTGCGCATAACTGACTAATTGACTTACGATCTGAATGTTGATAACTAGCTTTGACGTTAATACCCGAAGTTCGCGATAATGATTTACTGTGGATTTTAGTACTTCTGATATGATTAACAATTTCAATTTTACTCTTACAAAGAAATCGCATGCACTCTTAAGATTCGAAATTATCACAAACAAATTATCACGTTCTACTCTAATATTAAAAGCTTCAAAGTGAAAACATTGAAAACATTGAAATCATTGAAATCATTTTCAAAAGTAACATTGCCGTCAGTAATTTTCTTACACAAGATTGTATGGAATAAATATTCATAGAACACAATTAAAATAAATTAAATTAAATTCGGGTTATACATTTTTTTGAATGTTGTTATAATTCAAATTAATTTGAAAACCAAATAACCGCACATGTTTTGGAGTCCGTGTTGGTAATAAAATGGAAGAGTACAACTTACTCAGTCTCTTGTTATGAGAATTAAGTTAATGTCTTTTATAGACCTAAATTCATAGTCCTGCTTCAGCAACACTGTTACAGTGACACATGCCAGCCAAATATCATACATCATCATCTAATAATCGCCGAACGTGTTAAAATTGCAAAATGTGACTACGAAAATGAGTTCGATATTCCCTTAGTAAATATGTTAACAAACACATTTCCTCACATCTAAGGAAATGAAAATCCACAAGTAACTGCCGAGTAACCACAGTATTTACTAGAAATCGCTGTATATAGTGAAATGTGGTCTGGACGTTGATATGCCTATACGAAGGTGTGGACCAATTTGCCAACTTTGATTACAATTTCTTAATAATTACCAGATGTGTTAAGAGAGAGAGAGAGAGAGAGAGAGTGAGAGTGAGCGAGAGAGAGAGAGAGAGTTGCCTGCTGTTAATTCATCCATTATCGATTGAATATGAATTCGAGTCAATTCGGTTTTTGCCAACTTTTGTTGCGAAACTAAAACTCAGCATACATTGAATATATACAATCAGACCATTTTATAACGCTAAACTGCAATATGAAATATATATGACACAACCAACCTAATATAAATGTGAGTTATATGGATTGAAAACAACCAATGATAATATAACAGAATCAATGGATATTTAATATAGAATATTAAAGTAGCATTGTCTATAAAATTTAAAATAAAAGACTAGCTAAGACCGCATTACAAGGGTTATTAATGCTATATTTTTGATGATATTCTCAAACCATTCACTTGGACAATAGCGACGCAAATTCCACACCAATAGAGGACAAATTATTATTTAACTTTGGAGATATAAGGTTGAAACATGTGTCTTACATGCAAGTAATCGCATGTTTACTTTTTCCCGCAAAAATAACTAGATCTGACATTCTGAATCAATATGTTAAGTAGATTTTAAGCAAATCCAGGAAGGTCGCACTAGATGGCTGAAAAATGGGTTATGAGATCTTTGAAAGTTTTTATTGGAAAAAGGTTTGTATAAAAAAAATATTTCTGGTGAAATCTCTGGATATTGAGATGCTGACTGGGTAGATAAGATATATCTTTATAAATAGAAAACAAGTTGCGAAAGCACTGTTAAGCCTTCAATGACAGAAGTAGAATATTAAACCAATGATTCTTTAAGTTGAACTAAACACGTAGACATAAAAGTCAACTTTGTTCATGAATTGATCAAGAATGGTTAAGTATAATTATAATTAGAATAAATAAGTTACTTGACATAGGTATGGTGTAACGTAATGTCTATAAAATATTAGGGGTATTCAGGCAACTGATTAGTTGCTTAGTAGTTGATTACAACAAAAATTTGCACACAAAAATGAAACTAAGCAGAGAATCAACTATTTCGGTGATTAAAAGATTAGTACAAATTTGATTAATAGTGCTGCCAGTCCCAAATCTCGTAATAATAACTTAAAATGAACTTTAGTATAGAAATTTGTTAGCTGTCTCTCTCAGCTGTTTGAATTGTGTGTAAACAATTTTGAAAACACAAGTATGTTTCACTTTTGCTGTTGATGCGAGTGCTGCCAAGGCATTTACACACAACAAACTAATCAGATTACGCATTTTGGGTCGTTCAAGCAACTGATTAACATCAAAATGCTAAATTTTTTTTATATGAAGTTTTTGAATCAATTAAGCAACTAATAAGTTGCCTGAAAATGTTATTTTTGTGTTATATTGACAATACACTAAAAAAGATAACATTGAAGGCATTAATAGTGATAGAATTAAAAATGAATTTCACTATATCTCGATCTCTTTTTATTTTAACTAGAATCCTTTAGTTTTTGAAACAATACTAATAAGAGCTAATCAGAATAGAAGTAAATTCTAATAATACTCAGAGCATTCACTTTCACAAAGGCAGTCAACAAGTGAAAACTTTTTCTTTGAAAATTGTAAATTCAAAACAGTTGAAACTTCGAAGTATCTTAAAGTATATTTTTTGTCCAGCATTGGGATATACACTGAGATTGAGTCTAAACACAGATTCCAATTAATGCAAGAGAATGTATATATTGGTCAAAATCTTTAACGGTATTGTCTTTATGACATATATACTTTACACAACTGCTAATGTAGTCATTTATCTCGAACTTGCAATTTTTATGGTATTAAATTCAACGAATTAGACTACTTAGTTAAGGAAATTAAACAATTTTTTTTTGTTTATTTATAAAATATAAATTGATTGCATCTTTCCATTAGAAACTAACAATAATTTGTAGCTTTATTTTTAATTTTTTAGTTGTTACGTTGAAATTATTTCAAAATCGGTTTTGTTTTTTTAAGAATATTTAGTTTTATTTAAAGCATTAATTTTTTGTATATTTCTATATGTATTTCGGTAAATTCCCTTTTGTCTTCATCAGAAGACAAACTATTTATACTTATTATAGTAGGGTTTTTTGTTTTTCTCCTTGTGAGTAATAGATAAATAATGGTAGCGGCAGGGGTCTGGTTTTGTTGTTCAGGGTTTGTTTTTTAGAATGTATTTAAAAAGCCGTGATGATACGTTGCTCTTATCGCCGTTGAGTACAGGTGTTGCCTGATGTTTGTGTATTTCGATGCTCTCTGCCGTTTCTAATTTCCAGATATTTCTGGAGATCATAGACATTAATAGAGACTTTTTTCAACAACATCAAACAAAGAGTTTCCAAGCGCGTGTCAACATGTGTACTAGTGAAAAAAGAGGAATTACCAAAAGAAGGCAAGAACATTTTTAAGAATTTCTCAACATTGGTGTAGAAAGTAATTATATATCCTTGATAAACTTAGCTTCATGTACAGAATAAGAATTAGAACCCTAGAGGAACTTACAGACGCCAGAAAGCAATTGAAAAACAGAAAAACACCTGGTGAAGATAATACATGAACAGAGCATATAAATCAGTGCAAGAAAGCGCCAAAATAAAGTTATTTACTTTAATCAAACGTGTTTGGGCTAAAGAACAGCTGTCGGAAGCGTGGCTTACTGGTGTAATAGTGCCGCTGCACAAGAAAGGTGACAAACTAGACTTGACTTGACAACACATGAAAATCAAATCAGAGCGAAAGAAAGGTGCTGAGAAGGATTTGTGGTCTCATCGCAGAGCTACTACAACTTAATAACGGTGAAGATGTTGTAAAATTCGCAAAGTCGCACCACTTAATATGGATAAGATGGCTCGACAACGTGATCAACATCAGAAGCATGGGTATTCAAAATTGGAGGTCTAAAATAACATGCAAAGCTGAATGGAGGAAGCT